TCGAAAGGAAGAGTGAACTGCATTACATCAACTCAGGATAAGGTGCCCCGAAGCAACGTCCTCTGAAGTGTCCGCTCCAATACGAGCATCGACAGTTTCAGGAAGTTGTCAGAGCAGGCAGCTGGTTACTCGGATTTGATCTGCGATCAGATATTGACCACGTACTGCTGCCGACTTGGCTCCCGCACCAAACCGTTTTGCACGTTGCGCCTTCGCGTCATCATCGTTGGCGGCCTTGGCATCAGCTTTCCGAAGGACTGGATTGCCCCAGGGATTGAAAGCTTGCATGTCTTCTGCTGCGGGGGCGGAGTGGGAGAACCGACGCGGGATAACTGCGTTGCGTTTCGAAGCCCTGGTCCTGCAGTTGATGAGAAGCACCAGACTTGACGACTGACTTGGACTAGCCTCGTTTGGGACATGGAGTGGTGGGCTCGCACATCCTTGCTGTCAACGGTCCTTGCTGGACCTGGGTTGCACAATTCGGGGTGCTGGGCTGGAGCCCATGTTCCTGAAAATCCTGAAAAGTTAGGGAATTTCGCAAACTCAAGGGACTCCTGCTCCAGACCCCAACCTAATATCCTGTTTACTTCAGGCATCACCCCGCAAAGAGGGGCCTCTAAGTTTATTAGGGAACCGCCACCCGCACCCCCACAGACAGATGCTATGTACGTTTGTGACTGTTTATGTGTAGGTATGCGTATGTATGTTTGTATGTACATATATGCATGCTGGCACGCATGCAAGCATAGATGGATAAATTGCTGGATAGTTGGATGGGCTTGATGGGGGAGACGAGATGGGATGGGATGGGATGGATGTGTATGTGCGTATACGTATATATATATATAGATATATATATATGTGTGTGTGTATATGTGTATATATATATATAGACACACATATATATATACATACATACATCTACATATACACATACGTGCGTATGTGTATGTGCATGTGTATGTATGTGGATCTATGTATGTATGTATGTATGTATGTATGTATGTATGTATCTATCTATCTATCTATCTATCTATATATATATATGTGTGCAACAGCATTGGCAGATAGGTCGCGCGAGCTGGAAGATCGGGCCCCCATTCAAACCCGAAACTCGAAACCCTGAGCACCCTGAGCCCTAAGCCGTAAACCTAAACCCCTAAACCCTAAACCCTATAAAACCTAAACCCTAAATCCTGATTCCTAGACCCTGAACCCTAAACCCTAAAATCCTGAACCCTAACACCCTGAACCTAAGCGATCGAAGCGCAGAGAAAAGTGGAGAGGCCGCGGCCCCAAAACGCTTGGCCCGCGCGTCTAGCTTCTCCTGAGGATCCAGAGGCGGAAGTTGCTCTTCCCTTCCTCCACGTGTTTTTGTTTTTTGTGTTTTTCTGTACGTGTGTGTATATATATATATAACTATATGTGTGTGTACATATATACATACATACACACACACACACATAAACTCTTGTTGCAATTCTGTACGTGAGCTGGGACAAAGCTGCCTTACTCAAGGTGACCTCCATGTTGAAGGATTCCCCTGGCGCCCGCGGTACCCGAGAAAATGTATCCACATCATTGATGTGCGCTCAGAAACATTATTACAACAGTATGTGCCGCACGGCAGCCGAGAGTAAGATGGCAGAATGCTAGATGTTGCTGAGAGCCACACGCTGACCAGGCACGAATGATGTAGACAACTATCACAGAAGACTCTGTGTCTTAGTTTGGCCCCAAATTATCTTAACTAAACCGGGACGGGTCTGCTGGCTTTAAAAAAGTTTAGATAGTTTGGGGTGTCCCGGGTACGGCCACAAACTATCTAAGCCATCTAAACCGGGGAGGTTTAGATAGTTTGGGGGTCCCGGGCGGGCCAACCTATGTAAACTAGGAGGGTTTGTTCATAGTTTGATTAAATATTGAATGAATATGTATATAGAGATATATGAATTCATATTACACCGACTGAACAACTTGTTGGTTCCAGAAGATGGCTTTGGGGTCAGGGCTTTCAGTTTGATGTTTTGCCTTGGTTTGAGTTTGGGGGTTTACAGGTTTGGGGGGTGGTGTGAACCCCAATATAGAGATTTCGGGCCAGAAAAATTGCAGGCTGCGGATTCGAAGGTCACTATGGTGAGAGCGTCCCTGCATGATGAGTTTCTATATCACGGGTATATATGGAGAGTAAGCTCCTGCAAGGAAGGTATCCCTGAGAACCCAAGCTGTGCGACCCTCCATCAAGTCCTGGCTGGCAGTTAGACTTACTTTGGAGAATTGAATGTGTCTGTGCGCCGAGACTTTAGGGTTTTGGGGATAGGCAGTCGGTTCAGTTCCGGCTTCAGGAATTTCATCTGGAGCCGATGGCAAGGGGCCGATCGAGGGAGCCAGGGCTGTGGAGAATACACGAGCAGCGGGGCGTGCTTGCAGAGATTCGCAGGCTTCAGCCGAAAGCGTTGATCCAGTCTTGCTTGAACTGTCAACTGGTGAGTTCGGTATGAAACAGAATGCCCTGTGCAGCAAGTCAGTACGACGCAAACCCGAGGTCCTGAAACGGAAACACCGCCCTGGCGCCATGAGGTGTCCTCCTAGTAGGGTTATCTTGGGGGGGGGGTCCCTTTTTCGAAGGCTGAACCGCAAACTGCCCGGCTCCTTGGTTGACAAGGAGCCGGAGTTGCCATTCTCGGTGCCCTGCGCACAGCGCCACAGCGCAGACTTCGGGAGTTCCCCCAAGGCCCTCGAAAATATTGAATCTAGAGCCTCGGCGACATAGAGACGATGGCAAGACATATCGTCTGGCAACGTCCCTTGCAAAGCTAACTGCAGCGGACCTGCCTCCGATGCCGCCATCACCTGCTCCATATGTCACGTTTGTTCAAGCACTGCTGAGTGTGCTGCATTAAATGCTCTGCCATCGAACTCGGTGTGCTTCAGAGCAGGGCCGGTGCAGCCCAGCTTACCCAACGAGTACGACGCGTCAAACTTGGTATTGTTGTTCCATGGTGTTCCGACTCACAGCTGCTCATCGCTGCTGTCTGCGACCTCTTCAAGCGTTTGGTATAAGGGCCGGCCCAAGCGTGAACCTCGATCACACTCCCAATACTGCTCCCCGAGCCCGAAACTCTGAACAACCTAATCGCAAAACCCCATAACTCAATCGCAGACTTGCGCAGAAGAGAAGCAGCTCCTTTGATCTTTTGTCTTTGTGTCTTTCTGCAATGAAGCATTGCGACATATTGCGATGCTACGTCCCCGATATCCTAATTCCGAAAGCGAGAAGTCCGGTAATCCACTCCACAAGCCCTAAGCCGCAGTCCCTAAGCCCCCCAAAATCCTTAATCCCAACCCTCCAGACATCCTAAACCCCGGCCAAACCCCCAAACCCCTAAACTTCCTAAACCCTAAACCCCCAAACCCCTAAACCCTAAACCACTAAACCCTAAACCCCCAAACACTTTAAGCCAGCCTCCTAGGCTTTCGCAGCCCCTGGCAACCGTCTGAGCCAATGGCCGGCAACAGCGCAGTAGGGCACAGGGTGAACATGCTGGTCTAAGGCTAACTTCGGCCTGGTTGCGGGGTGTATGGTCTAAAGGGTAAATATGGTTTACAGGGCTCAGAGGTCTTTTAGGGCTTGTAGGGTTTATGGGGCTTATAGGGTTCAGGGTTCAACCTGGGTACAGTTCATGGTGTTGGGCTTAGGGTTTCAAGGACGCGGCATTGGTATACAGGGTATTATCATGGGGTTAGATTGGTCTGCGAGTTGGGCGCACCTTAGCCCTGCCTGGTACATGCAGGTAACAGTAGCATTTCTGACACCTACATGCGCACAACATTGTGCGGTGACACTTCCAAGTGGGGGGGGGGGGGCTGTGGATGACCAGTATACTATGGATTCAATGTAGTACAGCATACTATGCTAAAGGATGTTCTAGTCTCCTTCAAAGAGGTCACATCAAGTGCAGCAGTGTCTGAAGTTGACCACCCTGAGCCCGGAACATGCAGTGGTGCATTTTAACCGCTGTCTCTGGCAGGGCGGGATGCGGTCCTTCCAGACTGCGGGGTCACCTGATACCACAGGGCGCCATCCGTCTCGTACTTCGGCTACTACATTACGCATATCACATTACATTATGTTACACTAGCCTGTGCTATGCCATATCATGGTAGAGCATTTCCTCCAGGCCCCTCAATCCCTTGTTGTGGACATGCGACGGCGGCTCTTCTATGACTAGCGACTAGCTTGGTCCTCGCAATCACAGGCATGTAAGGATTCTCACCACTAGATCTGTAGAGGAATGGGATATCAAATGGAATGAGATGCAGGACGGCGTGCCATAAGACTTCCTCCTCCCAAGCTCACAGTATGATGGTGCAACCAATAAGCTTGAAACCTGTAACTCGCTCAAACGCTGCCGTAGCTACAGCACCAGCAGAAGTTGACAGGTGCAAAGTACACCGAACAGTACCTATAAACCCTAAACCCAAAACCCTTCTACCCTAAGCCCCTACACCCTTATCCCTAAACCCAGCCGTACAAATCTCCGGGCATTATTGTATTCGTGGCATCCCCGGGCCCCTGGGCCTCCCAGTTCTCGTCCGGAGGGGTGCGCCAGTAAACCTCGAAGGATTCGGCTTTCGCTACTTAGGGCCTAGGGTTTAAGCTTTAAGGATCAGAATTTAAGGGTTTAAGCTTTAAGGATCAGAATTTAAGGTTTAGTGTCTAGGGAGGTCCCTGTCATAAACCTTGTAGGATCCCTTTAATTTTAAGGTTGTGTTTAGGGAGGTCCCTATCATAAACCTTGTAGGATCCCTTTAAGGGAAGCCTCCCACCTCCCTGTCATCGAACCTTATAGGATCCCTTTACGGGACCCTCCTGCCTCCCTATTTAAGGGGACCCTATGGAACTTTTAGGGGCCCGAAAGCCCATGCCAGAAGATGCACAAACAGGCTCCGGATCAGTGTCGCGTCTCAACATCACCAGACAGAACTCAGAGGGGGGCGTGTCCATACACCCGCGTTGACGCCTGTGGGAGGCTGAGGAGCTCAGTTCATGGAAAGGCGCGGCCTTTCTGCCTGATTTGCGGAACCATTGTTCACATCAGTTCCCGGAATGAACATCAGTATCAAGTCAACCGCACCGATAAACTCTGATCGCCGAACCTTGATCCCAGGAGCCGCTTGTTTTGGCAGCTGGCTCTTTGCGATGCCTCCTTGTGGTCCATGCTAGGCCAGCGAAGAGCACAAACGAGCCCTGCGCCGATCTCCTCCCGACGGCATCGGATTCTGAAGCGGACAAGGTCACTGGTCAAGAGATTACTGTTGGGTTAGCAAGAGCACTAAGAGTTATGGTCCGGATTCTCATTTATCTTCAGTGGTCTCACCACCATACCCACCATCTTGGTCGTCTGGTCCTACATGCATGCACAATCATCTGTTCGCGGCCGCTGTCATCATTGTCTTCATCATCGTCATTCTCACCGTTGTTCTGATACGCACAGGTGCGATACGATGTTTGGCAACGCGAGCAGCAGCACAGCCGGAGAACTTATCACTGAGGGAACCAATGCCAGCCAGCAGAAGGCAAACGTGCGCAAACGGATGAGGAAGGCAGGTTGATGCTATTTTTCGGGGCTTGGACTCCAGGCCTGTAGCCTCACAGGCTTTGTTATGGGCTGAAGGAGGGTAAAGGGCTGATAGCGGCGTTTGGGGGATGTGCAGATGTCGGACGCCAGCTTCCATACCGTTTCGAGCTTTTGGCTCAGACCTCGCTCCCTCCTAACATTATTTCAACAGAAGTCTGCATCCTTGAAGCCATAAACCCCGAACGATCTTGCTAAGAAGGGGGTAGTGTCCTCTCTGTGAGCCTTCCGCGGGGTTGTTGCCAACGCTTTGGCAGCAATGGACAAGACCTGAAATAGGTCGCTGTCACTTCTAAAGACGAATCCCATACATTAGGTTCCCGTTTGGACTATGAACTCGCTTCAAAGGAGCCTTAGGACAACGCTGTAATCTACGGGCCTGAAGAAGAGCCTGAACATCCTTCTAACCCGTTCAAAATTCTCTATACACCCTACCGAAACCTTGGCAAGAAACTCTAAAACAACCCCTACGTGCTGAAGATCTCTTAGACTCTTTGATTCTGGCCGATCGTGACATTTGCGGTTTGGAGGGTTTCTGGTGTAAGTCAGGCTTCAGGGGTTCAGGGTTCAGGTGTTGAGGCCATCGAGCTGCTGGGCTTAGCAAAAGGTCGGGCCCAAGCAAGACGCTACACCGCGCTTCTTGGCCGATGGCCTGGATACGACGGACTACGGAGACGACAGGTGAACACACATGACGAAACGGTAGCACCGGTTGGTGGCTCTGCTGCATTGCAAATTGCAAACCCGGGGCACTTAGACCTTCAAACCGGGATCGCTTTTGAAGCGAGGCTGCGTGCGGAGTCCCAGTTCGAGATCACTAGGCTCGCGGCCGAGTTGTTGCTGGGGTTGAGCTCGAAAGCCACGCCAGAAAGCTGGCCAAGCGAACGCATTTACACTCACAGATTTTGTGTACGCTCCACCCTGTGCAGTCGTCACTGTGAGGGCAGGCATGTCAATAATGTGGCGGCCCGTGACCTTGCGGTGGGTTACTGCCATCGCTTCCGCCAACCTCAGCATGTGTGCTACGACTGGGGCGGGTGTAATTGTCATCATGGCTGCTGTTGCCGTTTATATTCACGGTGCAATGGTCTTTGCATCTTTTTACTCGTTGTGTAATCACCTTTCTTGGTTTTGGAGCTCTGTATCATTTTTTCCTGATGTGTCGTCAGCACTCTCAAACCCGCGTTCGATTTCGATCATATTCTTCCAAATCATCATTGCGCACGTTGCATCGGGAGCTGAGGTGCGCCTGTAGAGGCGGACTGTGCAGAGGCGTGCACCTGAGGCAGTCCTTTGTCTCCTAGGCGGAGTCTCCGGCACAAGAGTAGAGGAGTCTGCAGTCGCATCCGCTGTTTTGTTGCGACTGCTCGTGGACTCTGCTTCCGACGAACTGTCCGGCTGTGTCGTTGCATCCAGCCGCGTGGGTGCTGCATGCGTGGCGACTCCAGCTGAGTCGCAGCCTGTGTCTCGGCATGCAGCTGCGACGGCAAGTCCAGAGACACCGGATTGGGACTGTTGGAGCCCCGGGACATGGTACCGGCAACGTGAAGCTTCGGGAGTCTGCAAAACAAGTACCTCTGACAACTGCTTCTCTGAACTGGTCGTGCTCGCGTCTGGGGCCTTGTGACAATTGCTTCTAAGTGTTTCTGTACGCCCACATCCGGCAAGGGGGCCTACGAACAGCAAAATGCTGTTTTCTCCTCTGAAGCCCTGACTGACAAATAGTAAGAAGGACACAATGACAACAGAAGTGCGCAACAGCTGCAAAAGCAGCAGCAGCAGCCGCTGCCGCAGCGACAGCGACAGCGACCACGACGACGACGACAACGACAACAAACTAAAAATGGCAACAACATACAACGACAACAGCAACAAGGGCGACGACGACAACGGCTGGGACAACAATCACAACAACCACAGCAGCAGCAGCAGCAGCAGCAGCAGCAGCAGCATCAGCATCATCAGCATCAGCGTGCACATCAGCACATGCAACGGTAACAGCAACCACAACCGCAACAATCACCACCATCAGCACCGCAACAACACCAAAACCCCCAGTTCCAAAACATCTCTTCCGTGGATTGAACATGGCATGCGCTCAAAGTCAGGGCCCATGCTTCTCGACTTCGGTGTTGGGAGTGACCGATAAGGGCTTGCGCACCCGGGCATCCAGCTGAAACCACCTGAGGCTTGAATGCCTATGAAGGTGCCGATGCCGGGTTTTCCCATATCCCTGACGGTGAGACATATAAGGAATTACAAGGACTACTCCGAGGGTTATTTAGTTTTCCGCGAGCTGATCGGCCAGGCGGGACAAAGAAGAGAAGTATGCAACTCTGCAGCTGTCAGCAAACTACACCAACAGCACACCTATGAAAACATTTCTGTCTACCGGCAAGCTGCACTTTTGTCCTATACTGATGAGCGATGCAGGTCATGCAGCCACAAGCACAACCCCAAGCCCGAAGCCTAAAACATGCCCTAAGCCCTACACTCAAGTCGAATAATGTTTAAGATGATAACCATCATAAGCATAACAGTATAATCAAGCAAACCTTAGCAAGAATCATCATCATGATAGAATGGGTGAAGGCCTCTGCTTCCACTCGCCCCAGGATTCATGGATCTGGCAACGGAAGCGGAGAGCGCGCCCCTCCTTCTCCTGGCAGGGAGTTTTTTATAAAGTGGGGGATCAGATTGGGCTTGCGGGTCTCCGTTTTCGGGAGACAGGAAACCTTGCGGGTGTGGGTCTCAAGCAGGCATCATGCACTCGTGCTGTTCAGCGTCCATGCTTAAGGCCACAGAGGCTTAAGAAGTCGATGGCTTCCAGGAAGTGGGGTGCTACATGCTTGGTGTTCCCAAAATCAAAGTGGTGCACTGCTTTGACATCTAGCATGTGTGTATAAATAAGTAAATAAATACGTACATATATGTACCATATATAAATCATGTATTGTGTAGCACGTACTGACGTCACGAGGTACCGCGCCATGCCAAAGGACAGTGATTGCCGATGGGAACCTCGTGCCATCGCACCATGAACTCAATGGGACTCTTAGCCAGCTCGGATGCCTGACCGACAATGGGGTGCGGGTGCGTATCAAGTTTAGGGCCTAGGGGTTTCTGGGCGTGCGGAATTTGAGGGTTAGAGTTTGGACTGTAATAGGGATGAGGTCGGAGGTCTCTTTCGAAGAAGAGGGGAGGCCTCCAGCTTAGTCCTGGAGAAGATTCCAAGCTCAAATCCCAGAGTTTTCCAAAATGCTGATGGTGGGAAAAATGGATAGCTTGTGCGACACGCAGGTGCTCCCAAATCAAACCCTGTGCATCAGAGATTCGGACAAGAAGCAAAGAGCACAATGAGCTCCCGAGTTCTGAAACCCTAAACCCTAAACTTCTAAACCCGGGTCGGAGTATGAAACCTTGCTCAACAGCAAAAAGCTAAGCCACGGGCCGATGCGAGGCCACGGAGGGTGTTCCCCAAAGCGATTTCGCCTCACAGGCACCCCCAATACCAGGACCCTCCTTGTACCCTCAAAGAGGGGCGTAGATTTATTTAGGGTCTAATAGAGGGTAGATGGAGGGTCTAGGTAGCTTTCTAAGTGCGGCTGATCCACAAAACGGCCATGGCAGCGGTTGCACAGGTTCAAGATGTGGTCGGTCATCAGTAGAAGTCTGTGCTGCACCAGCGAGAACAGCGAAACACAAGATGATGATAGCGCCGCTACGGCGTCGGGTCTCAACCCAAACTAAAGCCCAAAAACACTGATGCAGCTGAATCCTTCACTTAAACATCTTGTCAATTTTTTGAATGAAACAGTCAGCATCGTTGGGGTCCTCTCAATTTCAGGCCTTTCCTATCCTTACAGCACTGTGCCCCACTATCAAGTGCCCAAAACATCAAGCAGATGTTCTCTGCAGGGATAGTTGCTCCAACCCTGGTGTGCAAGTAAACACACCGGGTGCAAGCCTCGCGCGCCCACGACCTTAGAAGGACATTCTGCATATACGGCGGTGGTATACTCATGCTGAATGGGACGGCAGCTGCCACAGCTACTTGAGTAGCTCCTGCTGTTGATGCCCATCCCCCGACAACAACAACAACTACTACTACTACTACTACTACTACCACTGCTACCACCACCACTACCACCACCACTACCTCTGCTACAGACCAGCTGGGATTGCCACGCAGTAGCCAGGGCCGGCGCTGTCGCGGCACATCGCTCCTCTAAAATCGGGCAGTTTTGTCTGACACTCGGGACAGGTGCGATGTGCTCTGTGTATGAAGAGCGGTGCTGATATCTCGCGGAGGCGCTGACATAATCACAAGAACGGCCAGCTTCCACGAGCTAGTCATATGGGGAGAATCTCAGGACTCTCTGAATATCTCTGGACCATGAGGTCAAGCTGTTGACCCGGCCGAGCCCGCTGCGGATCTTCGCTCCGAGCCGCTCATAGCGCCGATCGTCCGTCTGCAGAGACAGGTCGCTGATTGGGCATGGTTTTTGGGGACGGGCAGGCCGACGACAACCGGCAGCAGCACAGCTGCGAAGGAAAAGGAACGCCGCAACGCCGGAGAAATCGGCCCATTGGTGGCTGATAAACACATATCCGCAGGACCTAACCCATAAACCCTACAACAACAAGCCCACGAACCCCACACTTCCCCATAGTTATCCCAAACAGCCCTCCCCCTTTTCGAGAGACCCACCTCGACCAAACCGGGGGCATAAAGGATCGCCGGCCGGGCTGAGAAGCTCCGCCTCCGCCAGCGACCACCGCAGTTGCAAGCAGTGGGGGCGGCCGCAATAATTCGAAAAGGGCTTGGGGGACGCTGTAATGCAATTACATTGGGTTCGGAGGTTTAGGGTGGAGTCGGCCCCAGCTTTACGGATGCGCTGCAGTGTGGCTTTTTTGTGCTTAAGGGGCAGCAAGAATCCCGTGCAACTGAAGTTCTGCAGAGATTCTGGACAACAAACCAGAGAACTTTCGAATTCCTACTGTCCTAGTACCGCTGGCGTTCGGCTGGGCTTGAAGATGGTGCCTGTGACTGGCTGCGCCCGTACCGGTGCACCTCATGGTCCTTGGGCACATCCAATCATGCGGCGCAGTGTTACTTTTGGTAGAACCAAGGTTTGAACATGCTTCTGTCTTGCAAGGTGCTGCAGAGAGGGCGCAAAGCTTCACAGTTGCCTGAGCCTGAGCGCCTGAGCCCCTTCATTCCTTCAGCAAATCATATTCGGTAGTCCGCTGGGCCCCCATGAGCTGGGACCCTAGCATGCTGCGCCAAGCGTGCATGGCAATGGCCAAATAATGCACAAGAGGGCGGTTAGAGGGCCACAAAGGGGCTGAACCTCATGCGAAGCTAGACTACGTGTCTTGTGCCCTGTCGGGCTGGGGACGACATAGGGTGGAGGGCTCACGTGGTTAAGTCAGGGTCTCTGCTCATTCCACGAGGTAACGCTCATGCACGGCACCTGAAAGAACGCCACAGCCCGATCGCAGCAAATGCAAACCACTGCCAGGCATGTCACCCACTCTTCCAGATCAGACATCGTGCGGAGAAGCCTACCTAAACGGTTGGTGCAAGCTTCCCGCAACTTTACTGAAGCCTTCTCGCAACACTGCGGGAGCAGAGGAGTGCTCTTAGGCTCAGGTCACGCTCATGCTTTGGATGACGCGTGAAACGAATCTGAAGCTGCATCCTTGCAGCAGAAGCTATCCTCTCTCGGAAGCTCCCACGCGACTCTACCGTCGTCTCGACATTCGGAGCCATAGCAGTCAATGTTGATGTATGGTGTAGCACTTACTAGTACAAGGTGCAAACGCAATTATGTATGATAGTCATCGTAATAGCAAGAAAGCCCAAGCTGCGGGCCAAACCTGCAAGCTTCTGCTGTCTGTCTTGTTTAGCGATGAAGCATATAAGACATCTTAAAGCTCAGACGGCAGGTGCATGATCGTCACGCCGAGTAAAGACCGTAAGCCCCACAACCCCTAGCTTTCAGCGGCCCCTTGTGGGCTCTCCGCCTTTGGCAGCTCCACCTCGCGGAACAATCCGAGCACGATTTTTTCCGCATGTCTTCTTCCGTGCAGATGATGAAGAAAGTACTATAGGACCCTAGGACGATTCTTGCAGCCTATCAAACCATCTCCCCACCTCAAGGGAGAACCCAACATGACATTCTGCAAATGAGGGGTGCGTACTGAATTCCTCAGCCTTTCCGAGACCTTCAAGCCCGGCAAGTCAAGATCCGGCCTCACCATGCACGCGGAAACCCCGGGCGTAAGCAACTGCAGCGAGGCCCGCAAAAGCTGCCTTTTCTGGTCGGAGCAGGAACAGGAGCAGCAGTAGCAGTAGCAGCAGCAGCTGCAGGAGCAGCAGCAGCAGCAGCAGCAGTAGTAGTAGTAGCAGCAGTAGTAGTAGTAGTAGCGGCAGTAGTAGCAGTAGTAGTAGCAGCAGCAGCAGCAGCAATAGTAGTAGTAGCAGTAGCGGTAGTAGCATCAGCAGTAGCAGCAGCAGCAGCAGCAGTTGCAGTAGCAGTATTAGTACAGAAGCAGTAGTAGTTGGTGTTGTAGCAGCAGCAGGAGTAGGAGTAGGAGTAGTAGTAGTAGTAGTAGTAGTAGCAGCAGCAGTAGTAGTAGCAGCAGTAGTAGTAGCAGTAGCAGTGGCAGTAGCAGTAGCAGTAGCAGTAGCAGCAGCAGCAGCAGTAGCAGTAGCAGTGCAGTGTCAGGAGGATTGGCAATAGGAGTAGTAGTAGTATTCATTCATTCATTCAGCA